CCTCACTCAATGCATTAAAGAGATGTCTCCTCTTCTATGAGTATAAATAGAAGAGCTCTCAGTTGGAGTAGATAGAGAAAACACAACAAGGAAAAAACATAACATGTTTCCTTCCTCCTCCTTCATTTCCAGCGCCTCTGTTTATTCTTGTTTCCTTTGCTAAATTTCTTTGAGAGATAAACACAACTAGTTCGTAGGCGGTTAACATAGTGTAGCGTGAACCGACAACCGATTGTATCCTGGGAATCGAACACCGAAGAAAACCTCTTGCACTCCGGAGAGGCGGCGAATTCGATTTAAGAAAACCGTGTAAACACGGGCCTTCGGTTTTGGATTGATCTTCTTTGATTCTCCAATTTTATCCCACCAAATAATCCCAGACTCTTGTCACTTGTAGCAGTGAAAGTATTACAGCTCTTCAAAATGTTGCTGCTAGCAGCGTATTGGAGGTAACTTCCTCGGAGCCAAAAAATATTTCGTCTGTGATTGGTTCTCCTTGTGAAGTAGTGGATGCGACGGGAATATCGGCATGCCACTACAATCCACCAAGTCATTGTCTTTGTTCTCGGCCGCCTCCTGCAACTGCATTACAAACTCCAAGCTCCAAACCACATCACTCATTGACGGTCGTTCAGTCCGTTTATCTCCCAAGCATCTAATAGCAATTTCAACATATTTGCTCAAACATTCTGGTGCAATTTGTCCCTCAAGATTGGGATCAACAATTTGTCCAGGAGGCTCTTTCTTGCAATGAAATATAGCCCACTCTGCCAAATTCACTTGCATATTCGATGTGTCCGGAAAAATGGGAGGTCTAGCACATAATACTTCAAACAGTACTACACCAAATGAGTAAACGTCGGATTTACGTGTCAATTGTTTACTCTTATAATACTCTGGATCCAGATAACCAAAACTACCCTTCACCTCTGTGCTGACATGGGAGTTGGTCCCATCGATGGGGCCAATTTTGGACAAGCCAAAATCAGACACCTTCGCCACCCATTTCTCATCCAATAAGATGTTGGTCGACTTAACGTCTCTGTGAATGATCACATGCTTGGTGCCGGTGTGAAGATAATCTAATCCTCTCGCGGCACCAATGAGAATTTGGAGACGATGCTTCCATTGTAACGAGGAATTCTCTGTCTTGCAGAGATGATCACGTAATGTACCATTTAGCATGTAATCATACACCAAGATCATCTCACCTTTTTCATCACAATATCCAATCAACGACACCAAGTGAAGGTGCCTCAATGTTGATAACACTTGGATTTCTGTATTGAATTCGAGTGCCCCTTGTTTCGATAATGGATTCAATCGCTTGATAGCGACTGTAGTTGCACCATTGTCAATGTGCCCTTTATACACCGTACCAAATCCTCCCCTTCCAATCACAAAACTGTCGCTAAAGTTATCCGTCGCAAATTTCATCTCGTCCAACAAAAAATGTCGGCACGGTTCAGATAGTAGGGATGGACCCGAACCACTGGTCTTCGTGGCTGATTTTGACGTGGACGAAGGTGGGACCCGTGATGACTCCGGGGCATTTGTGCTCGAGTCTTTCACCCTTTGGCAGCGCCGAAAAATCATGAAGCTGACTAATAATAGCACAAGAACAAAGCCAGTCACGCTCCCAATAACAGGATAAAGTACATGAGACGTATCTGTACTTCTCTTCTTCTCTGACCTAATATCTGGTCCTGGCGGCGAAGAATTCAGAATAGGTTCAAGGTTGGCTGCAGCAAGACTATGACTAGAATTACTGAGTTTGAAGATTTCTAAGCCATTTAAGAGCGCATTGTTGTACAAAGGATGGTGCATAGTGTTTGGGAACAAAGAAAGGTTCAGCTTTCTCTCTCCGTGGCGGCCATCATCACTAACCCATGTGACGTAGTCTCGGAAATAAGGAATTTCTGTGCCACCAGTCCATGAAATAACATCAGCTTCAATTTCTGCTGTCTGATCGTTGATTGAAATAGTGAAAACCCTTTCGTTTTTATTGGTAACTTCCAGCTGAATCTCACAGAAATGGAGTCTGAGGAGGTAGAAAAACCCGGAAGCAATAGGAAATCTCCATTCCAAACTTTTACTTCCGTTGGCTATTACTCTTGAGGTAGTGTAAACTATTTCCGGTGCAGTATAAGCTGGGGTGTGTTTAGTGTACTTGATTTGAAGATCTTGTCTATGAGGTGAGTAACCAAAATCTCCACCAAAAATATAGGGATAATCTGGAATCCATTCACGAAACATCCCCGAGTCGTCTTTTATTCCGACATATGCTCCTCCTACGTTGAACCTGTAAAGATTCTCCATCGCGGTTGTATTTTTCAGCTCATACCGTTGATTCACAAATTTGATGGGGTCGCCACAGAAGTAAAGGGTGCCTGGCATTGAAACTATCTCAATCCCATTGATAAACGCGTAAGATTTTGGAGAAGGTGAAAAGGTAACATTAAGTCTCTGATTATCCTCGACATTAATGATGAATTCTTTCTTAAAGGAGGGTTCAGAGTGTGTNATTAAGTCTCTGATTATCCTCGACATTAATGATGAATTCTTTCTTATAGGAGGGTTCAGAGTGTGTGGATGTGAGATACGCACTGAAATTGCTCAAAAGTGTGAATTCATTGGCAGTGACTGTAAAGAAGGATTCATTTTTGTTGAAGGATACGTTTTTATCAAGGCCGGAGTAGGTGGCAGAGAAAAAGTAGAGGCGGAGAAATTTGGGTCCGGCCAGGACTGGAAAAGTGTAGGTGAACTGGGATTGGAAAATACGAGCTCTTGTGTAAGGGGCGGAATTCAGGACAGAAGAGACTTGTTCTGTTGGTGCAGAGGCTATAGACGTGGTAGCGATGTTTGGTGGTGCATACTTGGAATGAGCATCATCGTCCCAGCTACGTTCGTTGTCATCTTTTATACTTGACTCTGAGCCACAACACATGAGGATTTGGTCTGTGGGCGGGTAAGGAGGAGCGGCAGAGAGGGCGGTGGTTAGGAAGCAGAGGAGGAGAGCAAAGCACGACATGATTTTTGTGGGTGCTAATTGTTTTTGTGTTGCTTTTTTCATCAAGGCAGAGGCTGTTGGCAAATGTGGGGAGGGTTTAATTCCATCAATGGAAAATTGGGATATATAAAGAGAAAATACATTTTTTGTTAAAAAAAGTTAAAATAAAATATGCAAAAAGTAGGGGGAAGACTCCGTGAAGTCTTTGAGGGGATGCAAATGAAAAGTTGGTCCATAAATGCGACATTTTTGACTGTTTGTGACTTTTCCAAGAGAAAAGTCATAAATTGGAATGTTTCGGATGTCAACTAGCCGAGCCCCATCCAAAAATTGGATTTTTTGACTGGAATGTGGTTCTCTTACCATTTAATTGGCGTCTACGTCAGCGAGCCGAGCCCCATCCACACGGACCGGCCCGTGATTAATTAAAAAAAATTAAAAATAAAAAAAAATTTTAAAGCTAAAATAGCTAAAAAAATTAAAAATAAAAAAAAAAGAACTGGCTCGGCTCGGCCCGCTAAGGCTCGGGCCAAACCTCGGGCCGAGCTAACTTTACCTTAAAAAAATTACAGTCCGTGCATTGCGCGGGCAAAAAAACTAGTATAAAGAGAAAATACAATTTTTGTTAAAAAAAGTTAAAATAAAATATGTAACTTATAATTAACGACTCAAAAAGTAGGGGAAGACTCTGCGAAGTCTTTGTGGGGATGCAAGTCAATGGAATTATATGGACCAATATCAATTATTGGTCACGAAAAGTTGGTTCATAGATGAGACATTTTTGATAGTTTGTGACTTTTCCAAGAGAAAAGTCATAAATTCTTTCCAAAAGATGATGTCATTTTTCCTATATTTTCTTTATATATTTATTTTTTGCTTATACTTTCTGAATTGGAATCATTTTGATGTATTAATATTCTCATTTTGTTGATTGTCGTTACTTGAAAGAAATGTACCCCGTTTGATTTGGATTAAAATCAAATTAAAA